GGGACCGAAGGAGAAGACCACGGCTGTCTGAATGGCCGCTTCACCATTAGCACCCTGATCGGCCCTGAGGGCACTGGGGCCAACCGCTACAGCCCAACGGGTGCTGCTCCCTACGACATCACCCAAAGCAGCCACTGTACCCATAACAGCACCTTCTACATGCAGACCTTTGGCTATAACACCGTTGATGTTGTGCCCAACTATGAAAACTATGCCAACACCAAGATCTCTAGTGAAATTAAGAAGCCAAGACCAACACTTGCAGATCTGCACTCCTTTCTTAAGGTATATTCCAACTAATCCAGAGCCTTCATCTCCCCTTCCCCTTCCCTCTCCTCCCCTCTCTCCTCTCCTCTCTTTCCCTTCTCTTCCTTTCTTTTCCCTTCCGTTCTTCATCTTTTTCTTTCTTCAACCTCTCCTCTCCTTCATCCTTCCCTCCCCTTCTGCATCCTCTCTTCCCTCCCTTTCTTCATCCTTCCTTCCCCTTCTTTTCCCTTCCATTCTTCATCCTTTTCTTTCTTCATCCTCTCCTCTCTTTCATCCTTCCCTCCCCTTCTTCATCCTCTCTTCCCTCCCCTTCTTCATCCTTCCTTCCCCTTCTTTTCCCTTCCATTCTTCATCCTCTCCTCTCCTTCATCTTCTCCTCTCCTTCATCCTTCCCTCCCCTTCTTCATCCTTCCTTCCCCTTCTTTTCCTTTCCATTCTTCATCCTTTTCTTTCTTCATCCTTTCTTCTCCTTCATCCTTCCCTCCCCTTCTTCCTCCTCTCCTTCCCTCCCCTTCTTCATCCTTCCTTCCCCTTCTTTTCCCTTCCATTCTTCATCCTTTTTCTTTCTTCGTCCTCTCCTCTCCTTCATCCTTCCCTCCCCTTCTTCATCCTCTCTTCCCTCCCCTTCTTCATCCTTCCCTTCCCTCCCTTCCACTTCTTTGATATCCTTTATGATCACGGCTGCTGCTGTTGTCTCTTCCCCGTGGAAGCTCTGCTTGGCCGTTGCCTTCCTAAAGTTGAAGCTACCAATCTTCAGTCTCCTCCTGAGCCTGCTCTTGTGCTCTTTCTGTTTCAGAGTGAAGTCCTCCAAGGCAGAAACATCGAGATAATTATCCTATCGTTCCTGATGCGTGGCACCCTCACATTCTCCAAAGTTCTATCAACCTAATATCCTTCCCCCTTAGAAACCATTCTCTCTGTCCGTATGTTTTTCCAGCAAGAAAATAGCCACCGGTACCCACCGAGATACGAAGCCCACAGAAGCAACAGCTTCTCAGAAGGAGCGGCGGAAGAAGAGGCTGCTAAGGAGAAAGAGAAGAATCAAGGAGAGCCCGTCCGATTTGGGTGGGTCAAAGGGGTGATGGTGAGTAGCTTTCACAGACTTAGATAAAACTCACCGGATGCTTTCCAACCATCTCAAAATCTGGGCTGTTGTTTCCACCACCCTGGACCAACTTGGTCTCCTCTAAAAGACAACATGTTCATGTACTGATCAGCAATCTTGCTAATTCTCATTATATAATTTTAACAGGCCTAAAGCAGGGGTACAGGTTAGGCTTAAATCTCCAAAGCCACAACATTTACCATTTCTTAAAGCCGTAAACCTCCTGCTGCAGAATGGATCTCAAGTGCCCAAACAACCAAAGACACACGACAACACAGTGGAGAAATATCGCATTCATTTGTATAAACGTTAAGAATATTCGTACCGCAATCATTTTCCAAAAAGAAAGGAAAAACCACAAAATAGAGCCACAGAGAGGCACAAGCGAACTGCCTTTCTTTTGAAGGCCTTCCTTCTGTGGTCTTTCCCAATTATCGGTTGCTGCTTCTGCCTTTTAGATTCGTTGCATGCTTAACATCTGGGGTGTGATCCTGTACCTCCGGCTCCCTTGGATCACTGCGCAAGCAGGCATCGGTAAGTCCTGTCAAATTCATTTCCTGCTAGGCATGGCTGGCTGGGGAATTCTGGGAGACGAAGTCCACGAGTCTTAAATTTGCTAAGTTTGGGGACTTCTGCCTAAGAGGAAGCTGGAGTACCTCCGTTGATAACCGGAATAACTTCTTTTCATTTTGCAGCGCTGACATGGGTGATCATTTTAATGTCTGTGACCGTGACCACCATCACAGGATTATCCATTTCTGCCATCTCCACCAACGGCAAAGTCAAATCAGGTAGCCACTTACTCAACAGCCAAAGAGCAAGCGAAACCATCGGGGTGTGCATAGAATATATACTCCCAGATATTTGAACCACCCCACTCTTTTAAGATAGATTTTTATTAAGTTTCATTGTAAGATAAAAAGAAACAAAAGTTAGAGAACTGAGGGAAAGAGGGGAAAAAAAGTAGTAACTTCTGACTTCAGGGCAGTAAAATATCCGCCCCCCCCCCCAAAAATTACAACCTCGACTTTTTGCCTGACATTTCACGACATTTTAAGCCATTTCTATAATTTAAAAAAATCATTCTAATTATCAAAACATAAATCACAAATTCATTTGTTCAGGTTTGAGCAAAAAGATAATAATCCAATAGTGGTTTCCAATTAGAAACAACGCTAGATAGGCTCTTCTTAAGAACTTCCAGTGGTGGAACATTCAGAATGGAATAGGGCACAGCTCCCCAAGCCCCGGTCTGTGGACCAGAACCGGTCCATGGCATGCCAGCAACCAGGCCGTGCAGACAAGTGAAGCCTCCATCTGTGGGATGCAGGCAGCACGTAAAACCACGCCCCCTCCGGTCCACGGAAAAACCTTTCTCCACCGAACCAGTCCCTGGTCCACTTTGCTGCTGGCATAGGATCTCTTACTTGGGCAGGGGGTTGAAGACCTCCAAGTTTCCTTCCAACTCTGCTGTTCTGTCCTTGAGTTGATTCTAAGCTTATCAAAGAGAGATTCAGCCTAGAAATAAGGAGAGATTTCCGGATAGAACAATAAATCAGTAGAACGGCTTGCCTCCAGAAGTTGTGGGTGCTCCATCACTGGAGGTTTTCAAGAAATGATTGGACAGCCATTTGTCCAGATTGGTATAGGGTCTCCTGCTTGAGCAGGGGGTTGGACTAGAAGATCCCCAGGCTTCCTTCCAACTCTGCTGTTCTGTTATTTAAAACAGTCAGCTTTTTCCTCTCTGCTAACTCCATCACCTTTTAGCATCCACTCTTCCATTGAGGGAACTAGTGACAACAGATGGGGAAAGGAGGGAGCCAGATACATCAGGGTAAGGGGTGGGGAGGTGAGATTAAATTTTAATTACTCACCCATCTCCAATGTGAAGCTACCCCCGTTGAGTCTCCAAGCCATCTGGCAGAGCCAGATCTTAAGGCTCTTGTGAAACGTCAGGGGATATGATGTTCCAGAGGGCAAGAACTTTGGTCTTGCATATCGGTGGTTGCATGACCTCTGTAGATGCCACACACTAAATAAATACATTTGAAAAGTGACTGTGTGGATTGTACTGTTCCCCTCTCTTAGGGGGGACTTACTTCCTCATTTCGAGAAGCCTTGGGCCAGAGTTGGGTGGCTCCATCGGTCTCATCTTCGCTTTTGCCAATGCCGTGGCCGTGGCCATGCATACCGTGGGCTTTGCAGAAACAGTGCGCGATCTTTTGCAGGTACGATGTGACCCACAGTGAGAGGAACTGGTGGGAAGGGCGGCATGGAGAGATGCTTGCTTTGCTTGATTGGGGCATGTTTCCATTGATCCAGGAGATTGGCAGGTGACTGAGGGTGGGATTTTTCTCTTCAAAGGAATATCACTCAAGCATGGTGGACCCTACCAATGACATCCGCATCATTGGGGTTGTCACTGTGACAGTACTGCTTGGGGTATCCTTGGCAGGGATGGAGTGGGAAGCCAAGGTAAGTGTGTTATTGTGGGAAATGGGGAAGGTGGAAGAGGAATTATTGTGTCTTTCCATAGTTTACACATCTTATAACTCTTGGCCATCATGACTGAGTGATGAGGAAGGTCAACTCCACTAAAGTGGGATGGGATGTTCAACCTCTTTTAGAACCTCCTGCTGTCTCTCTTTTCTGCTGCAGCTACAAATTGGGGAGAAGGAGCTTACTCCGAGTAGAAGTCTGAACTGAGATCTTGCAGAAAGCTTTTCAAAAATCAGTGGAGGGCAATATTTGCAGATTCAGTTTTCATGCTCTTCAGTTGTATTGGCCAAAACTGGCAAACATCTAGATGTTCACAAATTGGAGAAAGATTGGTAACAGAAGAGCAATTGATGGAGACTTTCACCCATTCTAATTTTAGAACAAAATTCCCATGCCCAAAACTGGAGCATCTGTTTCCTCTCCCCACCAGCTCTTTTCCATTTTGTGGAATCCTGAGTTTAAGTAAACCCAAGATAAGAAAGCCCCTTTGTCATGCTGGCTGAGGAGGATGGAAGTTTAGAAATTAATAGAGATCATCAAGATGGGGAAAAAATAGTTGTCACATTGGAAGGGGATGGCCAACATTTCTGAAGAATCCTCAAGTGGATGGGGAGAACGAGTGCTTTCATCAAACACATCTACACGGTCACTTAGGCTAGGCATGATGGGGGTTGTAGTCCAAATACCTAGAGGGAGTACTGAGTCGGGGGAAGGCAGCTGCCATCTAAACTGGTCATGATGGACTTGGCTATATAAAGGAGACCAGATCTGGGAAGATTGATCTTCTAAACTCTTCAAACTATTGTTTGCTTGGTTTTGCAAGGCTCAAGTTCTCTTTTTCGTGGTGATCATGATTTCGTTCATCAACTACCTGGTGGGGACAGTTATTCCACCCAGTGAGGAGAAGCAGGCCAAAGGATTTTTCAGCTACCGAGGTGAGTTGAAGTCCACATTTACTTCTCAACCGTAGCAACTTGAAGACATGTGGACCTCACCTCCCAGAGTTCCAGTGCCAGCCATGGCTGAGAAACATCCCTTTAAAAGGAGTGCAAGCAGGCACAACATAGGGAGGGTCAAAAAAAATTCAAGAGGGCAATCCCAAATAAATGGTGGAAGCTGTGCCCCTTCATTTTTTGTGTTCAAGAAGCAAGACTTTGATTGCATGGATTTGGCTGTCCCCTCTCCCTCTCTGCACTTCCCTAAGTTCAAGCATCATAAACCTGGACACCCCATTTTTTTTTCTCCTCCAGCCAACATTTTTGCTCAGAACTTTGTTCCCAATTGGCGAGGGCCTGATGGCAGCTTTTTTGGTTTGTTTTCCATCTTCTTCCCATCAGCCACTGGCATCTTGGCAGGAGCCAACATTTCAGGTGACTTGAAGGTAGGCTGGGTTGGCGGGGCCCACAGGGAGGAGAAGGGGTACCTGGCCAGGTGGGACATCTTGGAGTAACTGGTGTCATCTGTGCACCTCAATGTTTGCATGAAAACGCTCAGAAAATGTCAAGTATCCCCTGCCACCATAACTGGTGGGGGTCTCCTAGGAATGAATGGAGCCCATTCATTAATTAGGGATGTCTCATTTTAGGAGAACTAAGGCTAATTTGCTTAATGACTATACCTGACTGCATCCTGCCAAGGATTTGCAATCTGTGGATTAATTAGGGATTAACCCCAGAATTAATATCAGACCAACCATCAATCTGAGTTGTCAAATTGTCATTTGTTTCCCTTGGCCAGGATCCTGCTGTGGCAATTCCTAAAGGAACCCTCGTGGCTATTTTTTGGACAACCGTGTCATATCTGGTTCTTTCGGCTACAATTGGTATGTTTACAGATAGGTACAGCTACATGCATTAGGACACAATTTGTGTGGGGTGAACTCAGCATCACCACTTAGCACATAAAGTTTTTGTAATTTTTTTAAGCTCACCAGCAGGCAACATGGGGCCAGGGATAGAGGGTGGGATAAGGCTATAAGGGGGGGTCTCCCTTTGGTTATGCTCCTAAGAGGAAACATGAGCAAAATCTAGAAGTGTTTAGACACACAGATATTTTCAGATTGAATTCTAGACCAGGGGTCCCCAACCTTGGCCACTTTATGACTTGTGGACTTCAACTCCCAGAATTCCTCAGCCAGCAAAACGATGAAACAAGTGTGGACTTTTACATTTCAATCCAGTTGTTGCACCACACACAACTGTGTCTTGCGTTCAATGTTGTCTAATTATTGGTGATGTGAAAATTCTAACTCCCATCTCTTCCCCTCCCATGTGTTGTGATCTCCCAAGGTTTTGGTTCTACAAATGTCTTTGAAAAAGCCAATAATGCTTCACAGCCTAAGGGCAGAGAGCAATCAGAGAAGATGATGGGAAATCCAACAAATATTTCTTCCGGTGTCTTCTGCCTCTTTGGATTTTCGGTGCTGGCTGATGTGAAAGCACAATACACAAACCTACAGAGATCTTCCTAAAAGAGTTAGGGGCCTCCATTGGAAACACAGAATGGAAAAGAAGTAGGAAATTAACCTTGATGGTTCTTCCTAGGTTCGTGTGTTGTCCGTGATGCCTCTGGAAGCATTAATGATACTGTCCTCGCTGGTTCCATGGGTTGTGAAGGCATTGCTTGTGGCTACGGATGGAACTTCACGGAGTGTACACAGACCCATAGCTGTCAACATGGACTCATCAATTATTATCAGGTATAGAACTGTAAATTGTAGAGTGTAAGTCAAGGACTACCTGTATAATTATAGACAAAGGTAGTGTCATGGTTCCGACAGACAGAGGCAAATAAAGCAGAACTCTGAGGCTTGGAAATTCCTCAAAGAACATGTTTATTAGTTACAAAGTATCGGCACGATCAAAAGTGAAACCCAGTCTGACTACACAAGTAACAATTACCCAGTTACAAAATATAGTGTCCCACACACAAAACTATGCAAACAATTATGTTCCCCAATATATTCATTTGGCGGGCTTTTTTATATAACGCCCAGTCCCTGGTTGCGGGAGCAGTAGATGACCTTGGTTCCCATGGGACAGAAGATTATTTTGACTAGCGAAGCACCTGGGCAACCCCCCCTCCCTCCCTCCATTCTATGTGGCAACCTAGAATGAGAAGAAAAATGGCTGCAACCACGCACATTGTAGAGTTGACAGATAGTGTATTTGCTGATGGAAGGAAGTCAGAATAAACCACCTTAGTCAGTAGGGACATGCAAGGCTATTGAAGCACTGTTTTCTGTCTTCTCCAATTATAGGGGGAGGGAAGCTTCTATGTCTTTATCTGCATACAAGATCCACATTTCAGATCTAATTGTCTACCATTTGCTTGTTCTGTAGACCATGAGCATGGTTTCTGGCTTTGCCCCTCTCATCACAGCTGGAATTTTTGGGGCCACTCTCTCTTCGGCTTTGGCATGCCTCGTCTCAGCCCCCAAAGTGTTCCAGGTGAGATGCATTATTGATCTTTCAAAGAAGACAATAAAACTGTCTCATCTTTGTCCAGTGTCAGATTGCCATTTTGGCCAGAGAGCCCTAAAGCTGGAAGGGTTGAATGGGGCCACCAAGTTCCTATCATCCTCAATTATTCGCCCTTGTCTTGGTGACTATAATGATAGGAGGTGTAATTCCATCTTTGGGAGACATGAACTTGAAGAAGATGGACACAACTGTCTGGTCATTGCAGCCAAGTTTTCCAGAGTAAAGGTGGAAATGGTTCCAAGTCAAACTCACCTCTTGGTGTGTAGAAGAGCCGCTATGATAACTGCATCTAAGAGGGTTCTTGGCAACAGTACAGAAGGGATTTGACGGGATTCTTTTTCCCAGCAGCATTAGACTTCTGAGACTCACCCATCCAAATACTAACTCCAGTTGACTTTACTTAGCTTCTGAGATCAGCCATGGTCATCGTAGTTGATGTAGTTTTCTGATGTGGCTTCTCAGAAGAACAAGAAATCTGGTATCTGGAATTTTGACCTAGGCATACGCCAAAATTGATATAGGGCCATCAAGGAAAAAAACAGCAGGGAAAGAATAATTTCAGTTCAATGAACGTGTAGAGCCAAATTAGATTAATTAACCAGTGGAACAGCTTGCCTCCAGAAATCGTGGGTGCTCCATCACTAGAGATTTTTAAGAAGAGGCTAGACAGTCACTTGTCTGAGATGGCATAGGTTCTCCTGCTTGAGCAGGGGGCTGGAATAGAAGACCTCCAACGTTCTATTCCTATTCTATTCTATTCTATTCTATTCTATTCTATTCTATTCTATTCTATTCTTTCTCTATTCTATTCTATTCTATTCTATTCTTTCTCTATTCTATTCTATTCTATTCTATTCTATTCTATTCTATTCTATTCTAGTCTAGTCTAGTCTAGTCTAGTCTAGTCTAGTCTAGTCTAGTCTAGTCTAGTCTAGTCCAGTCTCTATTCTAGTCTAGTCTAGTCTAGTCCAGTCTCTATTCTATTCTATTCTATTCTATTCTATTCTATTCTATTCTATTCTATTCTATTCTATTCCATTCCATATTTTCTATTCTATTCTATTCTATTCCATTCTATTCCATTCCATATTTTCTATTCTATTCTATTCTATTCTATTCTATTCTATTCTATTCTATTCTATTCTATTCTATTCTAGATTGCTCTGCTCAGGAGTTTTGTAAATAAATATTTCTAGAATGTGTGTCTCCTTTAGGAAGCTTATTGTTGCAGTTTTGGACAGTTGACAGCCAGGGTGGATTTAGGGCTTCCAAAAAAGTCTTAACTGTTGTGGGAATCCATGCGCACTTGAGAAGTTGGCATGAACTGTCGCTCTGTTCTCCCGACAGTGTCTTTGTAAGGATGAACTCTACCCGGCCATTGGCTTTTTTGGAAAGGGCTATGGAAAAAATAACGAACCCATCAGGGGTTACCTGCTGACGTACCTCATCGCGGTGGGCTTCATTCTGATTGGTAAGATTTGCAAAGATTGTCTTTGCACAAAGAATCTGGTCTTGCTCTGGGGGGATTTTGCTAACCAAAGAAGAGATATGTATGTAACTTATTACATGGTATTCCAAGGAATAACTAGGTTCCAGTGTTCGTATTAGTCCAGGAAATGTCAATCAGTCAACTTAAAATTGCAGACAGATAAAATTCTACCACATCTGTAGCCCCGAGTTGGGAATTCTGTGCTAAGCTCCCTCAGTTTTTTTTTATTGTCAAATTTCTGTGTTTTGAATAATATGCACAAATAAATGCACCACTTCTCTTTCCACCATCTCTGCAGCGGAACTGAATGCTATCGCTCCCATCATCTCCAACTTCTTTCTGTGCTCCTATGCGCTCATCAATTTCAGCTGTTTCCATGCCTCCATTACCAACTCACCAGGTAAGGGCTTTCGTCACACGGCTTAGCAGCAAAGATAACTCACTCAAGTTGGGTTCGAGAACTTCAGAAGTTTCCTTCCAGGAAACATAAAGTCAGGGATGATCCTTCCTGAGTTTTTTTTCTCTCTGCCTGTTGTGATGCTGAGGGCTCTGCCCTCTCTTATCTGATCATTCTTTCTCCACCTTCTGAAGTCCTTCCCTCATACCATAACTGGCTCAAAGTTGACTCAGCTTTCCATCCTTCCGAGGTTGGTAAAATGAGGACCCCGATTGTTGGGGGTTGATATGCTAACTCTGTAAACCGCTTAAAGAGGGGTTTAAAGCGCTATGAAGTGGTATATAAGTCTAAGTGCTATTGCTATTTACAGTATTTGAAGAGTTGTTCAAAAGTGCATTATGAATGATCTCATATCAAGTATTTTTTTTCCCCTTTCAGGTTGGAGACCCTCCTTCAGGTATTATAGCAAGTGGGCAGCCCTGTTTGGGGCCATCGTTTCTGTCGTTATCATGTTCCTGCTAACCTGGTGGGCTGCCCTCATTGCCATTGGGATTGTGGTGTTCTTGCTCGGATACGTTCTCTACAAGAAGCCTGGCACGTAGCTCATATTATTATTTTTTACAAATTAAAATACTGCTCAATAAAACAATGAACTGAACTGAGGTAACTGGTCTTTTTTTCCCCCAGGTGTAAACTGGGGGTCCTCTGTTCAAGCTGGTTCCTATAACATGGCCCTAAATTATTCTGTGAGTCTCAATGAGGTGGATGACCACATTAAAAATTACAGGTAAGGTTTTGTGAGCCACTGGGTTTCAGTTGGAGACTCTATCCGAGGGACGTCCAGGTGCCATGTAGGTGTATCTCCCCTGATCAGCAAAAGTTTCCCAGCAGCATTAGACTTCTGAGACTCACCCATCCAAATACTAACTCCAGTTGACTTTACTTAGCTTCTGAGATCAGCCATGGTCATCGTAGTTGATGTAGTTTTCTGATGTGGCTTCTCAGAAGAACAAGAAATCTGGTATCTGGAATTTTGACCTAGGAATACGACAAAATTGATATAGGGCCATCAAGGAAAAAAACAGCAGGGAAAGAATAATTTCAGTTCAATGAACATGTAGAGCCAAATTAGATTAATTAACCAGTGGAACAGCTTGCCTCCAGAAATCGTGGGTGCTCCATCACTGGAGATTTTTAAGAAGAGGCTAGACAGTCACTTGTCTGAGATGGTATAGGTTCTCCTGCTTGAGCAGGGGGCTGGAATCAGATTTCTCCTCCAAGAATCTTGGTGCTTGGCAGAAATTCCAGACGCCATTTCCCCCCGTCCATTTTGTGCGAATGATTTGCCCATCCATCGTAACACATAAATTTGGATGCAACTACGCAAAGGAGGACAAAGGAAGAGCAAAGGGGGGGTTGATGGACCTCTGCCCTGCCCTTTAGCCACGAAAACCTGGGCATTTGTGCACCTTTGATAGCCACTTGTTGTGATTGTCCTTCTTTTGCCCTTTCTGGAATCCAACAGTAGCCACACAGAAGTCTTAGGAGTGGGCTGGTTCCGAGCAAATAGTCAAGGAGTGATGTCTCCTTGTTCTATCTTCAGGCCTCAATGCCTCGTCCTGACCGGTCCTCCTAATTTCCGCCCAGCACTGGTCGATTTTGTAGGCACTTTTACAAAAAAATTGAGTTTGATGATCTGCGGGAATGTGTTGATCGTGAGTATTTGTTCCTACCACGTAACTAAGAACTTGCAGCCATCTGCTATCTTTATCTACCTAATTTCCATTGTCTACCCACCTATTTCTTTCTTTCTTTCTGTCTGTCTGTCTGTCTGTCTGTCTCTGTCTCTCTCTCTCTCTCTCTCTCCCTCTCTCTCATAAAGGAGAATATTTGTAGCTCAGAATTAAAATGAGAAGTCCTTGGTGCTTTCTTGCATATGTTTCATTACCCAATCTGACAGGTAATCAGCAGATCTGTCTGTCCATCTAGCCATCTATCCATCTATTTTAATCATCTCCATTCTTAAAGATGATTGCACTAGATCATAAGAGAAACAGAGCACTACAACATCTCCTTTTTTAGCTGTATTTCCAATTCATCTGGAGAAATCTAGAGGGACCTCAACACCGACGAAGTCTCAAACGAGTGACTCCCGTGATGGAAGGGTTATGGCCCTTGCTTTCCTCCAACTCTATGTTGACTCACAAGAAAAGGAAACCTCAGCTTTAGCTGGGACACAACGCTCCCTCTGCTAAGGACCTGAAATGGAACTGCAGCCTTCAGCCCAGCAGGTTTTAAATAACACAAAGCAGCTTCTAAAGGCTGGCAGGTGTCCATTTCAGGTGGCTTACCTCCAAGCGAGATCCTTTGCTATCCAAACGGCAGCTCGCTAGCCAACACTAAATCATCTCCTCCAGCATTTATACCTTCAGATGTCAAAAATCAAGAGGAATCCGGCTGTGAAAATGTGTGCCTTTTAACCAAGTTTGTCTGGGAAAGTGCTATGAGAACTTCAGATCTGGCGCAACAATAGATTAACACAGCTGTCCTTCTACCACATCATCAAATACATAGCCCTAAGTGCTTCCCTTTGGCTTCCAGGTTTACTGCAGAGGTTAAGAGGAACACACAGGGATTGATGTGAAGTGTGGATAACGCTTGGCACTTGGCTTTCAACATTTGTTCTCCTGGAACAATCCCCAGCTAATTAAGCAAGAATAAATGAATGAATGACTGCTAGATTGGATTTCACCTGCCGTTTAATTGCCAGGATAAAAATAGACAATTCCGGAGAAGAGCAAACACAATCTTGGTAGGACATTCTGCTCTGGAGATGTTCCACCATTAATCAATCTCTCTTTTCTTTCCTTCTTGGAAAGGACAATTTCAGTAGGTAAACATTCGATTCCTTTACATAATTAGGCCAGCAAAGGGCTTTTTTTTTTTTTTTTTTAAATCAAGTAGCTAAGAGGGGCTTATAAATCTTAGTTTCGCAGGAAAAATAATCTAAGCGTGGAACTCTTCCTTTTCTAGGGCGATAGAAATTAAAAGCTGCCTTTTTGTAGAAGAAAAATATCTTTCTCTAATTTGCTTAATTTCAGAATTACGTGGCCTTCTTTCTTGTCAATAAAAAGTAGACAACCTACTAAGCCACCGCTAAACTTATCATGGGTAACTATTAAACAAGCTTAGCATGTTGGACTATGTTTTTAAGCATGTTGTATGAACAAAGCCCATGAGACATGGATTCTTGCCCTTGGCCTCACTCCTCAGGGTTCATAGATTGTATCAAGCCATGGTTTGTTTAATTACTTATTGCCTATGTCACAACTTACTGATTGAATTGGTGGTTTACAGACTAGAATTAATGGGTTGAAGCAAAACGCTAAACCAAATTCAAACCACATTCAGCTTAAGCTTTACATTAAATGCTGAGCTTGGTAGTAGCCCCTAACAAGCCTTGGCTGTTTTCTGACAACTAAACTGGGTTTTGAAACCATGAAATTTAGTTGAAATTTACTTATATACATAAATAATAGGGGTCAGTTGTGTGTTTGTGGTCACTATGTTGGCTTTTTGCATAAATCACATTTCAATAGAAAATAATATATCAAGCACTGATGATGTTACCTAGCTGGGTAATGAAATGTCTGCAAGAAAACCACCAAGCTCAGAGAGCACCAAAGACCCCACAGTCCTTTTATTTCTTCTTCTCCTCCTCCTTCTCCTCCTTCTTCTCCTTCTTCTCCTTCTTCTTCTTCTTCTTCTTCTTCTTCTTCTTCTTCTTCTTCTTCTTCTTCTTCTTCTTCTTCTTCTTCTTCTTCTTCTTCTTCTTCTTCTTCTTCTTCTTCTTCTTCTTCTTCTTCTTCTTCTTCTTCCTCCTCCTCCTCCTCCTCCTCCTCCTCCTCCTCCTCCTCCTCCCTGCAAACCCCACTCCTTACTAGCACTGATGATGTTACCTAGCTGGGTAATGAAATGTCTGCAAGCAAGCCACCAAGCTCAGAGAGAATTCCACATTTCTTCCAGCCTTCCTGTAGTTGTGACTCCTTCCTCTGCTTCTTTCTGACAGGGGCCCTGCAGACCGGCGAATGCTGAAGTGGGACTTGCTTCCAAAGGCCACACCAAGTGGCTGATCAAGAGAAAAATCAAGGCTTTCTACACAGGCATCTCAGCAGAGGACCTGAGAACTGGAGCACAAGTCCTTATGCAGGTAAAATCAAGCTTGGGGTCTTGAGATGCTGATCA